TTATATGTTATAACTTTTATACAAATATTTCCTTAATTACATTAGGTACCTACTTCATTCATAGTTGATCTTAGATGGCTTTTCAACCTTAAAAAGTTTGAAAAAGATCTTTTTGGAGTGGTTATAGATACTGGCAATGTACAAAACTACAAAAGATTTGAATTAAAAAATGAATTTGGTATTTTTCAACCATTTTCGGAACCCAACTGATAAAAATAATCACGATATTTATTGAAAATGTTGATATAACTATAGCTTCGAAAATTGTTTATACAATTCGTAAAATCGTATGATAAAATTTGTTTTTTAATCATGTAAAAACTGCACAACATTTAACATGTACGAGACACGAGTCAATGGGAGGGGTCCGGACCCCAAGGATCCCCCCCCCGTAAATACGCCAGTGGTCTTTCATACAAGTAGTTCATACTTTTACCTAAAAATTACAGATAATTTATAAAAATTGGTATGCAAATACAATGTTCTTTCAAAAATGAATTCATTCTGGTAAGACATATATGAAATTGACTTCTTGCTTACTATAGTTGACAGTTTAACTTGATTAATATTTTTTTGAAAAAGTAACAATAATACGGGCAATGGGGGGGGGGGCTTTAGCCCTTTAGCCCCCTCCCCTGCGGACGCCACTGTATTATATATTATAATGAAATTAATAATTAATTGTTAATTGTATAAAATATAGATTGTAAATCAAATAAAAATATAAATATGAACACAATATTAGATATGTATACGTCATGATTTATTGTGTTATAAGTTATGAGTCAAAAAACATCAGTCTTAGGTATATACATAGTACAATAATTTATAAATCAAAAAACGTAAACCTTATACTAAAATGTATACAAAAATTACAAAACCGGAGGTAATTTAATATATTTAGAGAGCAGATAATAATCATAAATATAATATTTGTTATAGGTATATGGTAATTACTAATTAGGTCATTTGGAGTAGAGTATACATGTGTTCACATTTTTATTTCTATTTCTAGGCTTTTTTTCCGCGGGCTTTTTTTCCGCCTACCATTCACATTATATGATTAAACTCACCCACCAATCTATACGATAATTTTTGTAAAAAAAAAAAACCATAATTATTGTGGATAATATTTTGAACATTTTTGTTAAATATTCAATAAATAATTTTCATAAACAATATTTTCTAGAATATACCTATTGGCTATTATATTATGCTGAGAATGTTATAAATTCATTCAATAATCATTGGAAAGGCCAAGTGATATTTTACTGAAACTGATTATAAGATAATATGTTAGAAAGGAGGAGTAACTTTATCAAGATGGAATAATTTGAAAGGAATTAAAGTATTTGAAAAGTACAAAACCACACTTCAAGAATTCTAAACAATCTTTACAATAAATATGATTATGCAACTATAATATAGTTATAAATTCAATAATAGTCATGACAGCTAAAATATATAGTTGAAATAAATATAATTGAAATTTTAATAAAAGTTAACAGTTTGAATAAGATTAGATACTTTCTATTCTTGTAAAAAATGTTGAATACATTTTACTGAACTTATTTTCTTAAGAGATTATAGGGGCATATAATGGCATTATATTATTATGAACGATGTATAATAATAGGTGCAGGGCAGTGCTCTCATTTATGCATTATTCATTGGCTTCATACAATCATGCTAGTTGCGTCCTAAAGGGTATTACTGTATAATTTAGCACGTTTATTACCTTTTTCTCCGTACAATTGAGCACATTTGAAATATTACAATGAAATAACCGTAGACCCAAAAACCCAGTACTATTGACCACGAATTTTTATGCTACGGACGATCTCAGTGGCGTAACTATCTGTATCAGCGGTTCTTAACCTTTTGTAGATCGCGAACCCCTGATGAAAGATTTTTAGAAATCGAGGACCCCCTTACCAATTTTTTTACAAAACATCTCATGTTATCATAACCAAAATTATAATAATTATCTTATATTAAAAATTACATTAGTAGAAAACAAAACATACACATTTCAAATTATTTTTATGACAATTAATTTTTTATAAAAATGTAATATAAAACTATAATTGAGTACGATACTACTACAATTATAGTGGTAGTAAATATAAGACTGCTGAGACTATAGTGCTGTACGCATGTAGTGCATGTAAATTTCGTATGAACAAGAAAAACTGATTACCTACTTAATAAATACTAATAATACAATTATTTGGTGTAGAATCTACATATTTTATATGAAAAAAAAATAATAATCCAATAATATTGTAATAATGCACTCTGTCACTTATTGATGTATGTTATGTGTTGAGGCCGACGCGGACCCCTGACATGAGTATCGCGGACCCCCAAGGGGTCCCGGACCACAGGTTAAGAACCGCTGATCTGTATTACTTAAATACTTACATGTTCAAATTTAAAAATTCAGGTCAAATCTTTTATATTGGTTTAAACTTTGATAATTGACAACAGTCGTTATTTTATGAATGGCTAATACAGTAATACCTGGATAAAACATTTTATTAATTTATGTGGGTAAGTTAGAAAATGTATATGTTGTAAACAAAAATGTACGAAATATATAAATACAATTGTTTTGAATAAACTACATAAAAAAAATTTAAAAATTGTTATACATAATCAAATGTGCAGTCATAAAACATAGATTTTCTTTAGTCGTATAATGCAAACTAAAATGCTCTTCATCGTGATTACTACTTCAGTTCATCGTAGGTTGGTATAATAGCAGTTCAAAATTATAATAGATACAATATGGTATATATTGTATACAGTGTGATCACGATATTAGGTACCACTGAATATCTCAGATAGTCAGATGGGTAACTTTGTATTAAAATGGGGTTTTCAGGAGGTGATAGGGAACATTTAAATACATATTTTCAGACCAGTTTCAAATTTTTGGCTCACTCGGTACGCGCATGTGCAATATACGACTTACTATTTGATGTGAAAACATCTTATGTGGCGTTCAGACTTTTCCGTTTGGGCAGTGAATTTTTTCGAGCGTTATTCGAGCGTTACCCTTTTCGCGTAACGCTAGCGCTTCCGACGTGCTGATTGGCGGAGACTCGGTGCGACCGCGACGCGACGCAACGATAGGCCGTCTGTGCTCAGGGGGCGTGGCTTCATTACGATCACGGACATCGAACATAGTGCGGGCGAGAGCGTCAAATTAGTTCATCGTTGACAACCAACGTGAACAGTTAACTAAAAATCTATTGTATACATACAATATTACTATTTGATCACATGCGCAGGCGCCCAACTACGAACGCGTCGTACTCGTACATCGTCCGTTGTCGCGCGTTGGTAGTTCTCGAGGGCGTTTTTCGTTGATAAACACTATAAACAATAAACATGGTCCAGGGCTTGAAACCGTTATCAAAATTATCGGTTAACGCTAGGAAATTCAGCTATAACGTCGGTAAACGTTGAAACTTTGATAACAGAGAAATTCGAAATGTTTGTTGCTAAACAATAAAGTAAACATTTCAAACGCCATGATCCAGCGTTCTGTCTGTTCAGTAGTTCAGTTCCAACAACCAATACCTACCGTGGTTGAATTTGCATAAACTTTTTTAATCAAAAGTACCTACCTATATTTATTGATGTGAAAATCGTTTTGCATGACAGTGTAAATTTTCGAGCGTTACCTTTTTCGTAGGTACGACCAAGCAAATTTTCTATGGAGTTAATATTTTCGGACTTGTAATTTTTTTTTCAAAATTTTTCGAAAAACACCGAAAATTCTTTTGCCACTAACAGACTAATTATGACGTCAGACTGGGCGTCAACCTTGGGGGTAGGTCAAGATCGGAATTCCTGCCGAGCGAATTTTCTATGGAGGTAATATTTTCAGACTTGTGATTTATTTCCAAATTTTTCCTTCAAATTCTAAGCTCATATAATATATGTTTTCACATCTTATGAGGGTCGCTTGAGACACACGCGTTTTTTTTAAATGACAACCCATAGAGTAATAATATAAAGAGATGAACTAACATATACTTGCACAGTACAAAAAGTGAAGCAATTAAAAGGACAAAAACCAGTATGACCACATGAAGGAAAAACATTATTTATTAATATGTGGTTGGTAGGAACACTTATATAATATTTGCAATTTATTTTGTTTTAAAATAATAATAATAATTAATAAATTAAAGACAAATTAAATATATTAAGCAATAACGTTTATTTAATTTTAAATAAAAGTAAGTAACAAAAAATAAAATACAGATTATAGTAAAAAAAAAAAAATAATTGAATTTAAAAAACTAATCTTAAATATATAATACGTTCACATATTAATAATTATACTTATTAATATTACAAAATTATGTTATAATTTGCATAGTATTATTATTTTTGAAATCATGAGTGGTTCATGATAAAAGAATCATCTTGTATTGTAAACTCAACCTATTAGAATTAGGGAAAATGTGAAAATTTCAATTTATACTTCTCTTTCACATGCATTTCACCGTACTTTTAATTTATCCTTAATATATCTAAAAATAAAAATGAATAACTTTTTTTAATAAAATGAACATTTAGGTAAAACTTATATTTAATATTTAAAACTGTAGCAATTAATAAAGCATTAAATAATATTAACAAAGAACAACTATTGGCCTTTGAATAAGGTTAATTTATTGTAAAAAGTTCTTAATGAAACTACTTCGTTTTGTTTTCTGCATAGATATTTAATTTTTATGTCATAATAAGTTGAAAATACTGACTTAATTAGAAGAATAACATGATTAGAAAAAGGTCCATTTTCTATATTATGATAATTTATTGAAGAAAAAATATTTTTGTCATTAATGAAGGAAGCCAGAATTTTATTTTTAATAAATAATGAATTATTTGGTTTATGTTCTTGGTAATGTAATTTTATAAATTTTTCTACAACTAAACATATTTCAATAACATCAGTACTTGGGTATGTAAGACCACCTTTATCTTTTAAAGAAATTAAAGATAATAAAAAGTTTTCTTTGGTCCCCAAAAAGAGCTTGTGTACATACATCACCTTTTATTTGTGAAGCTAACTTATGAGAAACAAAACCAGCTATGTATAAAGAAACTTCTTTGGAGAATGAACTTAAATGGAGATGAGTTCCATGTGTTTCAACTGTAAAAGTCTCTGGATCTAATTCAATATCATTATAAAGGGAAGCATTTGTATCATTTATGGCTTGGATTGGATTTTTAGATACACTAGAACAGTTTAGAATTGGGATATCTAAAAGAGAAATACAATTTCCAAGACCGCTGTCTTTTATTTGTGCTTGAACTAATAATTTTTTGTAAGCAGATCTAAATTGCATGGATGTTGGATTGTTGTTGTGACCCCCCTGAGACCTAACACTACCGAAAAATATTTCAAGGTGGTCTTGACTTAGTTTATATGACGGTATAAATTTTAAATTATTTGTATCAATGAATTTTTTTTTTAAGTTAATAAGGGAATGAAAACATACTATGAAACCTAAAAAGCCAGTTGATCTTTGTGATTTTAAAATTGGCTGACCGGTGCTTAATTTTAAGTTATGAACATAATAAATGAACTTTTTACTAAAATCAAGTATATTTTCATAATTATCATTATTTTTTCCTTTGAAGCCATATGGAATCAATGTTCTCGAATTCAAAATATCAAAAGCATCGTTAAAGAGTTTTATAAAATTGACAGTAGCAGTACAGTTTTCAAAATCTTTAAGTTTAAGTACATCTTTACAAAATATTAATGAATTTGCAACTGATAAAGAAAGAAGCTGTGTTGCTAATTTAACCTTCATTTTTTTTTTTTGAAAAAAAAAACATGCTCTTTTTTTAATTTATTAGCTAAATAACATTGTTCTTTATCTTGTAACATCAAAAGTAATTCAATATATTTAAAACTAATTATTTCGTTATTACAATCAATAAGCTCTCTCTTTTCACCAAATGTGTTCCTAACAAGTTTTATCATATGAGCGGGATCAAGCATGATGGAAACATCTGTATTATTAGAATTACTAAAACTAGTTTTCATGCAAAATTGATTAGGATCTAAACAACAACCAAGGGCACGACAACCCCAGTTTTTTTATGCAGATTCGGGTAGAGTATTTTTTTAAAAACATTTATTGCATAAAAAGTTTTTTTCTATTTTCAAAACTGACTAAGTTAGAGTAAGTCAAAAATTGGATTTATGCATAATATGTGTTTAATGCAATTTTCATTTATAACCACTGGAATTAATAAAATAAATGCTAAATAAATGTTTCATAGCGGACGGAGTGGCCGAGCGGACCAAGGCGTCAGTTGCGAAGCTCAACGTTGCTGGTTTGAACTCGGCCATGGGTGGCACTTTTCTTCTGGCAGTCACGGTGTCCGGAGAGAGAGGCCGACATGGCGACATCCCCGCTTGGGCATTGCAGATACCTATGCGTGTGTTTGTTTCGGCAAAATTTTTAAGTGGGCACCCGTAGGTATCTGCCATGCCCGGGTGGGTGATGACGGCCTCTCTCTCCGGATACCGTGACTTCCAAAAGAAAAATACCGCCCGTCCACCATTAAACATTTATTCGGCACTTATTTTATTATTTCCAGTTGTTATAAATGAAAATTGCATTTAAGATTTAACACATATTATGCATTAATCCAATTTTTGACTTACTCTAACTTGCAAGTCAGTTTAGTTTTGAAAATAGAAAAAAACTTCTAATCTGCATAAAAAAGCTGGGGTTGCCATTAAAAAAAAAGTAAATCGTATTGCGCATGCGCTTACCGAGTGAGCTAAAAATTTGAAACTGGTCTGAAAATATGTATATAAGCCCTCCCTATCACCTCCCGAAAACCCCATTTCAATTCAAAGTCACCCATCTGAGATATTCAGTGTACCTATTATCGTGATCACACTGTATATATATACAAATATTGTATAAAAATAAAAGGGCGTTTGTAGAAATTAAAATGTTAAAAAGACTTATACCACTATTATTATATGTTCTTAGAACGGTGTTTATAAAATTCAAATTATTAAAAGGGCCTACACCATGTAATTTTTTTTAAAATTAATATAACATTAAATATAAATTTAGTTTAAGCAATTTAATAAAAAATTTTAGTTCTATGGAGTCTCATGTTTAATAATATAATGTATAAATGAATGTTCTATCTTAAAAATTGAGTATTTAGTCAGTTGTATTTGTTTTCTGAAAAAAATTTAGTATACCTACGCCTTTTTAACAAAATTCCTTTGATATCATAAAACATACTTAGGCACTTAGCAATATAGGCTGACCGCTGACTGTCCGCGTCTTCGTTCAGAATCGTTTTTCTAATACAATAGTTTATTATTGAATTACATTTTAACACATACGTACAGTGTATGTCATAATCATACACTATAGTGACTTACTCAATGATGATGTACACTTGACACCTATGCAATGTAGCAGACCGGTTACCTACTTTCCACATTTTTTGTTACATTGTACTAGTGTGATTGGCATGGCCATGGCCTATGGGGGGTTAGGGGTTTGCTCATTTGCAATTTTTTTATTAATACATTATTTTGTTGTTATATTATTATTTAACTGCTTTGCTCAATATTTTGCGATAATTCACAATTCAAGTCTGATTACAAGACTTGTAAAGTTTATAAATTATATTTGCTATGAAAAAATAATAAATATTAACTTTTAGATAGCTTTATAACGTCTTAATACCTATCAAGAATTATTATCATATATATCGTCTATAATATGTAGATGAATTTTCCCCCTCTCTTCTCCTATCAACTTAAAAATACCACCAAATAATTGCATATTGAATTTTAGAATTTCCAAATCAATATATTGTTTTTTGTGAATTTTAGAAGTTGTTTTGCCATCCCAATTAAATATTAGAAAAAATATTGATTTGCAAATTCTAAAAACTAATTTGCAATTATTTTTCATTAATTCAAAATCTACACATATTTTAATGAATACATTTTAATGGTGTGAAAACATATTTTAACGTTCACATTTCAAGAGAGGGAGGGAAGTGGACACGATTTTCAAATAATCAAATATTTCAAACATAAAAAATATTTAATTAATTTTAAAACGCTGAAGCAGGCAGTTTTATTCTGTCATTCAAATAGACAAATATTAGACACTGTTGTGTTTAAATGTATAATACAATAATATTATGTATTAATGTATTATGTAATATGTACAAAGGATAGAAACATTGTAGTGAATATAGTGATATTTTGATATATAATTTATATACATATTCTAAGAATTATATTATTTTCAAGACGTAATCATATCATGACGCTGTGATTTCAAAATAATTTAAATTAATAACTTCATTTTAACTATAGGTACAAATATAAATACGTAACAACGTTTTGTCGTTATTGGTATTTGGTAACTTATTTTTTTTTATATTTTGCTTGAATGAAAAACTATTATTTTCAGTTTAAATAAAACGCGTGTGTTTCCAAATTGCTTACAGTTTACACATTAATTGTTATATAATACTAATTTAAAGTTATATTTAAAAAAATATCATTCAAACATTATCATAAAACCAATAACTGAGTATAACTATTAAGTTAACTATATACCTGATCGAATAATTCTTCGTTCCGCTCATTATGTACAGTAGGTATCTATTTGATTGTAATCGTTATGAATGTTATGATTTACAAAAAAGTGCAGTATATATTATTATGGTGACTACATGTAACAATCTAAAAAATGAACCTATACATTTTAAATGTTAGCTCTTCAGCCTCTTCTATGTCATAAAAAATGTATTTTTAATTATAATATAGCTAAATATGTGGTAATGCGTTACTTCTGTAGGTACTAATATTAAATAATTAGATATGAAAATAATAATATTATTATATTTATAGCAATGCTGAATTATTCAATCTGGTTTTCTCCATTAGTGTTTCTATGGTAAGTTTTAAATCTTTTTAATGTAGAAAAATAGAAAATGACCTTTTATAAGTCGCTGTATACTTACTGGAAGTGTAGCTATAGTATTTGGAGAAGTTTATAAATAGAACAAAGGACAAATAAGTGGATTACATATGTTATTAGAGCTTCCAAAGCACTTTGTTTTTACTGTTTCATCATTCAACAAACATTTTCGCCCATGTTCATACTTCTCCATTTACTGACATAGGACTACATTGAAGATTTTCATTATATTTCTCCACTAAAAATTTTTATGTTTCTTCTTGGTTATCTGGAAAATTATTGTTTGGTAAGAGACAACAAAAATCGGCGATTAGAGATTTATATGCAGTGAACCAATCATGAATCTGCCGAATAAGTTTATCTAAAAATGAATAATACTATGATGTTTATTAGTAATAATTGGTTGGGTACCTAGGAGGTTTTTATACATTATAATATAGGGTACCTGGTCCATGGGACCTAGATAATATTCTTACGTCTTACCATTAAATTTGGAAATAGGTTGATTATTAATGCTGTAATATTAAAAACACCAGAATAAAATTAACAATTCTGAACGTATAATTTGCTATGTTATTTGGTAGCAATACGGAGACAACAACAGTAGTGTCCTTTAAACAAACTATTAATACAATTAAAATTATAATGCCTATATTTAGATATATGCTGGGTCCTAGCACATATTAACAGATATAAGTATTGTAATAGATATTTTTGAGAATTATTATTTGAGTGCCTACCTAAGTTATTACGTAATAATGTATTATTTTAATGCTACCCAAATTGTATTACCTAGGTACTAAATAAGTTGGCATATTTTATTACATACCCACCTATATTTGATAGGTTTTTACCTATACATAAAACATGTTTATTAATGTTACATAATAATTTTATTTTTGTATCATATAGGTACACTACCTATAACCTATTTGACAACGCTTATAATATATTTTACACTGTAACCTAGATAAAAATATATAACATAACAATAACAATTATATGTAACCATTTCTTATAGTTACAGCATTACAATATATTATCGAAATAATTATTAAATCGTGTACCTATACTTAATTAATATTCCTTGTTGTATATAATAACGTTATATTCAGTATGTCATTTAAATTGATGGTGTTACTGCAGTGTTTATCCTTATCCGCGTTCGCCATGCCGTTGATTTCGGAAGCCGAATTGTCACCGGCCACTTCTGAACAAGGCCGACTTGAGGCACAGTCAAAACATTTTCGAAGGTGGAACCACTTGGTCACACTGACCGACAGTAAGTCAGCGGGGATGGTGGCAGAGGCTCCTCGCCTCTATAGTCATCATGGTTTATCTTGCCGTGATATTAACCTTAGTAAGAACAGCAATGTCGAAGATCCCCATGACAAGAATATGCAAGACGGCAACAAGCGCCGACAGATTGTCGTGGACAATAAGGTTAGATATAAGTCGTATATATATATTATTAAATTTTCTGCACATCGGTATTACTCATCATTGGTAGCTAGGGGTTATATACTTATATATACACATTTTAGAGGTTTTAAACGCTCTCTCAGATACGTGTATTTCAAATTCTACTACTATATAAACACTTGCGAAGTCATTCAGAGAGCTTGAACGTTTATCCAAGAAAAAATGTCTCCCCCTATCTCATCGAAATATTTACAACCGCGTAGAAAACCCCTTACAATTATAAAGAGTAGTATAGATAATAAATATATAAAATATATATATTATCCACAGATTATATAACCTTGAGTATTATTATCTTTGTATTTTGAATAATCATTTAATTGAAAGTCGTCGTCATCAACATTGGA